GGCAAAATGAACAAGCTGATACTCTGAATATCAGCAACAGAATCACAACAGATGTTTCAACATCTATTACAACATGTTAATCAAAAAGCAAATACTAAACTGTAAATTTGTATAATGATAAATAACACAAGATATGTTAACCCATTTTGGTAAAAATCACCTACATCTAAGGGCTACCAAGTCAGGAAGAAGAATCCACTATGAGTAGTATAGTTTTATGTAAACAACCTCTGGTTTACAGTAAATAACCTATGATTTATCTATGACTACCCAATGAAAACTTTATCATTAGAAATCACATCTAATTGATAAGATAAACTCATCTTACTCCCTTAATCACAACCTGTGATATCTAACAATTATAGTCACAATAATTGTATCATCCTACTTGAAAGACACCTCTTTCAATACAAAGTTCAGCCAAGAAACCTTGTTTAACGACCTACTTGGATTTGCTTCAAAGCTTCATCCAAGAACAATATATGATTTATTACCTATAGGTTTCTGAATCTGTATAAACATTTATGTATACCACAATGTATCAAACTGATACAAAGGGAGACTTAGAACACAAGAAAGCCTACGAATCTCAAAACCTTAAACCCTTATTTCCTTTTACATAAGTGTTACAAGAGATTCGGCCCTAGGTATAGGTCTTTCTTTTATAATCTCTAGCAGTCCATGGGCTTCGAATCTTCTGTCAACTAATTCTTTGATCCACTGCTGTGATCGCTCTTTGAATCTTGCAACAAAATTAAAAACAACTTGCTAAGTCAGTCCAGGATGTTGAATCTTCATGATAGGACATTTTATTTGACATCTTTGTTCTATGCATAATTATTCATGTTTGATCATCTTGTTCTTCATCATGTTTTACCAAAATTTTAGTCAAACCTCAAGAGCTTTCAATCTCTCCCTTTTGACAAATTTTGGTTAAAACCCCTTTTGCAAATAAACCTGGGGTGAGCGAAGTTGAAAAAGGTCTTGAAAGGAAGTTGAGACTCCAAAAGAAGTTAGAAGGAAGTCTAAAAGGGTTGATCAAAGACCACTCCCTTCAAAGACACTCCCCTCTAGAAAGCTCCCATTTACTAAGGAACATATACTCCCTCACCTGGGTAACTCATAACACAGAACATGACTGTGTTCACAACTCAAATCACAAGACACGAAGGAAGGACTCAGAACAGAAGGAGGACTTGAGATTCAGACAGAATGTCAGAACATCCTATCCCACATCCTTGCAAACCAATTGCAAGAACAGACTAAACTCCTGTACTTTTCTCTCCCATTTTAGCCAAAAGTTAACAAAGATATCAAAGACAGACCCATACTCAGACTGAACATACCCAAAGGCGGACAAATCCCATGAGTACAAGCCCAACAGAAAAAACAACTTCCTTTCAATTGAACATCTTTGAATAACAATGTTAACTTCAAAGAGATGACTTGATTTTCTAGGCATTTGATTAAGAGCGACTTCAAAAGGATAACTTGATAAAACATCTTATACTTAGAGCATCTTTGACCGCGTAAACTATCTTTAAGAGATAAAAACTTCACTAGATATCAATGGATATCATATGTTATCATCACCATCAAAACTAAATTGCTACTTTAATATATATAAAAAAAACTCCACCATTTAAGATCACCTTGACAATACCTACATACACATAGATCTACATATCGAGGGTTTGACTAAGAAATATAGTGACTCACTTGAAGATAACATACACATAGATCTACATATCGAGGGTTTGACTAAGAAATATAGTGACTCACTTGAAGATAACTCAAGAAAAATTATTAATCATGCATATAATAGTTCCTTAATCATGCTACTAAAAAATTCAATTATGCATGAAAGAAATAAACATATTAGTACAAATTTCTCCTTTTTAAGCAACCTTACTATAACAAAAAAAGAAGAAGAAGTGATTGAATTAAAGCATTACAACTCTCAAGGTCAATTGAATGACATTCTCACAAAATCATTAAAGTTTGAGTCCTTAATTGAATTAAATGAGGACTTATAAGGAGCCATAGAATTAAAACATTGCAAATCTTAAATTTAATGGGCTGACATCCTCACAAAATCATCAAAACTCTAGTATTACTTGATTTCTTGTAATTGATATCATGGTATAGTAGAATTTGTTAGTCAGATAAGTTTGAATAAGTTTCACATTACTTGAGATTCAAGTAATATCTATAATAGTTGTTTTATTATATAAAAATCCATTGTAGTAATCGAAATAAATCAAAGTTAATATTATTCAACATTTATAACCAACTCTAACAAGTTGCTAATTATTTAAAATAAATAATTAAATTCATTAATTATTTAAATAATTAATGTATTAATATAATTTAATTAACTATCTAAAATATAAATAATTTTGTGGTTACATTACGTAGGAGAAAGGAAGAATGAAGAAAAGTGAGAGAAGTAACCTGTGGATAGAATTAGATTTTATAAAAAGTTGCAATATCAGCCGACGAGAATATACATTATTAAGACAACAAAGAAGCTGGAATTAGAGAAGAGAAAAAGAGTAACAATAAAACCAAAAGGTTTTTTTGGATATAAAATGTGACACTGATACAATATTCCAATGTCTTTTCAATCCATTTTTTTTTATCTCATTAAGACACAAAACAACACTAGATTTAGTTTTAGTTTCATCTCACGTGAACAAAATACTTAATATCTATTAGAGTTTGACGTAACACAACCTTACAAAACTGATTGGTAAAATAAGAGGTGTCACTCTATATAAACTATTTCAATACTCTAGAGTTTGACCTAACACAATCTTACAAAACTGATTGGTAAAATAAGAGGTGTCACTCTATATAAACTATTTCAATACTCTATCTCTCAACAACGTGAGACTTTAAGATCTTTGTTATAATATAAATTATAAATTAGTTAGAATAACGACCAGGGAGGAAGGAAGTAAAAAAAGGATATAGGAGGAGTAGTAGTATCTTGTGTAAATCGAAACGTAGTCTTAGAAAATGCCAAAGGACTGAATAGAGCAGACAAGGACATAGTGTTTATTAAATGCAAAAGAGAAAAAAATGCAATAAAAAACAATGAAAAGCTAAACAATAACTGTAGAATAGCATAAAGTGTATGATGACAAGATGGTGCGTTTTCGAGTTCTCATTGGCTCATAGCGTACTCACTTGTACGGATAAGTTTCGTTTATGCAATTTTTTTCCAATTTTTACTCTTTTCTGTCCCACTTGTCCCGCACACTTGTAATTCTAGCCCCACTCTCTCTCTTTCTCTCTCCTCTTTCTTTTGAATCAAATCAATGCATTTCATTTGCGTTCTCTCTCTCTCTCTCTTTCTATGCCTACTACTATCACTCATCTTATTTCATCAAAATATCTTACAGTTTATTTTGCACATGGTTAATCACTATACATATATATATATCCATTATTTAATGCTATTCCTTTGTTCTATTATAATTATTCTATATATAAAAATATTTGTCCCAAAACAATTTATGATTACTATTACATACATATCAATTTAATATATTTTATTTTAAATTGTAATGAGGATAAATATATGAATTTTAAATAAAGATAATAGAATAAAATATTTTTTGGTACTTTGAAGTTTAGTTGGGAAAGGATATATCATAGGCAAATTTCATTAAAAATTTTAATTTTTTATTAAACCAATATATAAAATTGAAACAATATTAAATAGTTAAATAATGAATATATATTATATCAAACTTTAGGGTATTATTAACTTGTCATCGTATTTTAATTTGTGTGAAATAATCAAATATATCATAATCATAGGGTTATTGAGAATTATAAAAAGTATTTTATTGAAGAATTCAGTTATATATTGTACAAGATAAGAAAATATATATTTATAAAATAATTGTACAAAATATATATCCTACTATACAATACAATTAAAGAAGTTGGAGAATCCAAATTCAAATTCAAATTCAATGAATAATAAAAGTACAAATTTAATAGTTAATTACTAACTATACTAACTAAATAATAATAATAATAATAATAATAATAATAATAATAATAATAATAATAATAATAATAATAATAATAATAATGGAGCATACTAGTTAATAATAAAAAAATATCGACCGATAAATGAATGAACCTTGTTGAATTAAATAAGTGTAAACTAATGTTCTTAGGTCTAATTTTAGAGAAAAAATATTTTGTTTATGTTTATATATTAGTTAAAAATTTGTTGATATTTATGAATTAATCACTTAAAAAAAATGATGTAGTAAAAAACATAAAATGAAGGTGTTTGTTGGTATTATATTAAAAGTAATTAAGATCCCTTTTAAGTGAAGAAATATTTTAGGGGTCCCATATCTTGGATTTTACCAAAACAAGAAAAAAGAAGAGGTTTTGAAAATTGTATAAACCATAAAATAGTTTCTTAAAATGGTGGGGCTGAATGAAACTAAAGGCACAATAGGTGGTTGAATAAGGAAAGCTAACTCTGTCTCTGCTATGCACTTGTTTTCTCTCTTTTTGGGTGCTTCTTTTCTCTCCTATTAATTTCTTTCCTTTCATTTTCTTTCCCTTTTCTATCTATCCATCCACTACCTTCACTTATTTTTCTCTCTTTCTTTTCCAATTTCGTCTAATTTCAACAACATCACCAACAACAACAAACCCTTCTCTCTTCTCTCCAGGTATGTAAGATCATTTCAACCAATCATTTTTATTTCTTTTCCAAATTTAGAAACTTTTTTTTTTCTTTTTTTCTTTCTTATAGATCCTTCACTCTCAACATATTTCTACCAACTTTTGTTCATCTAGGTTCATCATTTCATTTTTTATTTATTTTTATTTATTTTTTATTTTTTTTTATTTTTTTTATTTTTATTTGACCTTCATCTTTCATATTACACTTGTTGACTTTAATTTCTGTTTTTATTTTTTAATTTGTGATAATTATTAATTTACAGAGAAATTGAATAAAAATGGTGAGAGGAAAAACTCAGATGAAACGTATAGAGAATGCAACAAGCAGACAAGTTACATTTTCAAAGAGAAGAAATGGTTTGTTGAAGAAAGCCTTTGAACTTTCTGTTCTTTGTGATGCTGAAGTTGCTCTTATCATCTTCTCTCCAAGAGGAAAACTTTATGAGTTTTCTAGCTCCTGGTAATTATTTTATTATTATTATTATATACTTTAAATTTGCAAATTTATTGTTTTATAATCAATATAGTTTTTTCTTTAATATCTGTATATATCTATCTGCAAAGATATTTCATGCACCATATTTATAGTAGCAGAAAGATTCAAGATATTTTACATAATATATTAATTAATTAATCAACCACAGTTAAAACTTGTGTTCAAACACTAAAATACTGACTCAATATTTGCTGAGAGATAAATTCACTTCGTATCTTATTCAAAGAAAAGCTTGGCTTAAATAGCCTTTACAAAAGGAACGTTACATACTAGAAGTCTAACTACTAGAGTTATAAGGACCTGAATAATAGGTCTTTTATTAACTAAACAGAGAGAAAATAGGAACTATTAATTAAAACTAATGTTACTGAAGAATAGGTCTATCAAGAATAAGTCCATCAATCCCTCCTTTAAGCTGAATACTGCAAGTAAGTCAGCTTACTTCTTTTGCAGACATCAGCCCCAACATCTCTCGTAGCTTGATAAATTGTTCTTTCTTTAATGGCTTTGTCATAATATCTGCAATTTGATTCTGGGTGTTACAGTACTTCAATATCACAGTTCCTTCATTCACCAAGTCCCTCAAAAAATGAAACTTCACATCTATGTGTTTACTCTTGCCATGGAACACAGAATGCTTTGACAATTGTATTGTTGAACTGTTATCACAGTACATTATGCTGCCTTCTTCTCCTTTATGCCCAAGTTTTTCAAGTAACCGTGTAAGCCAAATGTATTGACATGCACAAGAAGCTGCGGCAATGTACTCAGCTTCGGTGGTAGATAATGTAACCACGGGCTGCTTCTTTGATGCCCAAGAAACAGCACCTCCTGCGAGAAGAAATACAAAACCAGAAGTACTTTTCCTATCATTAAAATCTCCTGCAAAGTCGCTGTCCGTGTATGCCACCAATTCTGTGATGCTTTCTCCTTTGTAAAGAATGCCCATTTCAATTGTACCATTGATGTATCTTAATATCCTCTTTGCTGCACACCAATGCTCCTCAGTTGGAGATGACATATATCTGCTAATCAAGCTTACTCCAAACATAATGTCTGGTCTTGTTGCTGTCAAGTACATCAAACTTCCAACAACTTGCTTGAACATGGTTGAGTCGATCTTGGTTCCCTTTTCATCCTTGGAAAGCCTTGTGCCTGGCACAATAGGATTTCCAACTGGTTTGCTATCAGACATGCGAAACCTAGCCAACACTTCTCTCGCATACTTTCTTTGACACATGAATATTCCCTTTGAATTCTGTATAATTTCCATGCCAAGAAAGTAACTCATCTTTCCCAAATCAGACATGTCAAATTCATGCATCATTGACATCTTAAATTCCTCACAAATACCTTTATTATTCCCAGTATAAATCAAATCATCAACGTAAAGACTGACAATTAGGATTTTACCTCCCTCCTTTTCTTTTGTAAAGAGCGTATGTTCAGAAGCACACCTTTCGAAGCCCTCTCGAACAAAGTAGGATTCTATGCGACTATACCATGCTCGCGGAGCCTGTTTCAGTCCGTATAAAGCTTTATTTAGCCTATATACCTTTTCTTCTTCTCCCTTCTTTTCAAAGCCAGTAGGTTGTTGTACATACACCTCTTCCTTAAGTTCTCCTTGAAGGAATGCACTCTTGACATCTAACTGGTATACTTCCCACTTGTTTTGAGCTGCAGTTGCCAGGATAAGTCTTATTGTATCAAGACGAGCCACCGGAGCAAACACCTCTGTGTAGTCAATCCCATATTGTTGCGCATATCCTTTGGCCACCAACCTAGCTTTATGCTTCTCTACATTACCATGCTCGTTAAGCTTGGTTTTAAAAACCCATTTAACTCCGATAGCTTTGACTCCACTTGGCAAAGTTGTAAGTCCCCACGTGCCATTTTTCTCTATCGAATCAATCTCTTTAGCCATTGCATCTCTCCATTTTTTTTCTTTCGCAGCTTCATTGTATGTGATTGGATCTTCTTCTGTTATCATCATCATTGCTTCTTCTTCCTCCTCTGAGAGTCCTTCTCCGATTGCGTAATCTGACATCCATGCAGGAGCTCTTCGAGATCTGCCTTTAGGCGAGTTTGGTTCGCTTCCACCCGATGAGGTTGTGGAGGAGTTTCCTCCTGTTTGCAAGATTGTGTTACTTGTATCGTTAGAATCAGAGTCTTCTTCTAACTCTAACTCTTTGTTAGCATCTGAACTATTATCTTCCCAATCCAATACATCTGAATGCACTTCTCCTTTGCTTTGTTCCCACTTCCAGCATGCATCTTCTTCAAATTTTACATCTCTGCTGATTGTTATTTTCTTGGTAATAGGGTCAAGAAGTTTGTATGCTTTGGACTCCTTGCTCACACCAAGAAAGATGTGTGTTTTACTTTTGTCATCTAGCTTTATTCTTCTCTGATCTGGAACATGTACATGAGCAAGACATCCGAATATTCGGAAGTGATCCACTCTTGGTTTGCAGCCCGTCCATGCTTCTTGTGGAGTCATGTTATCAAGAGCTGTTGTTGGACATCTATTAAGGATGTGGATCGACCAATTTGCCGCTTCAGCCCAGAATTCCTTTGGCATTTGTTTCTCAGACAACATGGAGCGCACCATATTCATTATCGTCCGATTCTTCCGCTCAGCAACACCATTTTGTTGGGGAGTGTATGCTGCCGTTAGTTGTCGAGTGATCCCATGAGTGCTGCAAAAGTCTGTAAACTCCTTTGAGTTATACTCGCCTCCTCTATCCGTTCTCAAACACTTGATGTTTGCTCCAGCCTCCTTTTCAGACCATGTTTTGAATACTTTGAAAGCCTCCAATGCTTCTGATTTCTGATTCAGAAAATATATCCAAGTTTTACGTGTAAAGTCATCGATAAAACTTAGGATGTACTTCTTATTGCTGTTGGAAATTGGACTAATGGGACCACAAATGTCTGAGTGAACAAGCTGTAACTTGTGTGTTGCTCTCCAGATATTTCTTTTTGGAATGGGATCTCGGTGCTGCTTCCCTACGAGACAATGTGTGCACAACTTCTGTGGAGTTTTCACAGTAGGCAGCCCTTCAACCATTCCTCGATATGCAAGAGTTCTGAGACCCTTGTAGTTGAGATGCCCAAACCGTGAATGCCATAATTGTGATTCATCGTCAGCTTCAACTTGCATACATTTAGGTAGAGTTGACACCATCTTCGCCGAGAAATAGAACATTCTATTTCCACTCATATCTGAATGCATGATTAGTCCTCTACTAGGATGAAGCACCTTGCAGGTGCCATTCTGAATCAATACAGTGAGCCCCTTTTCTTGTAACTGCCCAATGCTTAATAAATTATTCTTTAGCTCAGGAATATAATAAACATTGGTAATTACCTGAACGATGTCATTTACACATAACCGCACACTTCCTATTCCCGTCACTGCAATACGGCTGTCATTTCCCAATTTCACTGTTTGCTTGAAGCCCTCATTCAAGTCTGTAAACCACTCCTTATTTCCACTCATGTGGTTGCTACATCCAGAGTCCAAGAACCATATTCCTTCTTTTGTTGCTTTCTTTTCTTCAACGTACGCCATGAGTAACAACTCATCTTCATGCTCTAATTCAGCAAAGTTGGCCCTTCTTTCCCAATCTGGACATTCGTACTGGAAGTGTCCCTTTTTGTGACACTTGAAGCACTCTATTGCTGCTTTGTAAGCTGGTGATGGTCTCCCTCGACCACGTCCTCGATATCCTCCAAACGTGCTTCTGCCTCTTCCTCTTCCGCTTCTCTCCTCTTGAGTCACTTTAAGCACCTGCTCTTCTTCATTGATCCTTCTTCGGAACTTCTGTTCATGGACGATGAGTGAACTTTGAAGTTCATCGACTGAGAGGCAGTTTATGTCATTTGATTCCTCTATCGAGACAACTATGTAATTGAACCTCTCGGTGAGAGTCCGCAAAATTTTCTCCACAATTTGAATGTCTTGCATTGCCTCTCCATTGTTGCGCATGTTGTTTGCCACCGTCATGACTCTGGAGAAATATTCGACAATAGTTTCTCCTTCTTTCATTTCCAGGATTTCAAATTCTCTTCTGAGAGCTTGCAATTGGGCTCTTTGTACCCTCTTACTTCCTTGATATTTCTTTCTCATCGATTCCCAAAGTTGTGCAGATGTGTCTTTCTTCAGGATTGTCTTCAGAATGCTCTTATCTATGGCTGCGAATAGATAATTTTTCACTTTCAGATCTTTTAGTTTCAGATCTGCTCTTGCCTTCTTCTCCGTATCATTCTCCACTGCATCTGCGCCCAACTCGACGTATCCTGGATCAATGAGATGCCACCACTCCTTGGAACGAAGTAAATTCTCCATCAGCATACTCCAGTGATCGTAATCCCCATCAAACTTGGGAATACTCAACAAGTTTTGTCCTTCATTCGACATTTTTCTCACTCTCTAGATCAGGCCTCGTGGTGAGGCTCTGATACCAATTGTTAAAACTTGTGTTCAAACACTAAAATACTGACTCAATATTTGCTGAGAGATAAATTCACTTCGTATCTTATTCAAAGAAAAGCTTGGCTTAAATAGCCTTTACAAAAGGAACGTTACATACTAGAAGTCTAACTACTAGAGTTATAAGGACCTGAATAATAGGTCTTTTATTAACTAAACAGAGAGAAAATAGGAACTATTAATTAAAACTAATGTTACTGAAGAATAGGTCTATCAAGAATAAGTCCATCAAGAATCACAGTATGGTTGGTTGATTTGATCTTTTCATTTTCTTTTTACCTTTTTTCATTAATCTCAAAAGTCAGTGGATGAAAACTGATTTGGTCAAATCCTGATTATTTTTAAAGGAGATTAACTTTTAGTTTACCCTAATCCATAAACTATAATTCAAAAAAATTACACCAAAATAAAGTCAGGAATGAAAGACAATCGAACAATAAACTGCGTTATAGTCTGTCTGCATTCTTAT